AGGAGAGTCGTCAACATCCTTTTCTAAAAAAAAATTCGGTATTAACTTCCGCCATGCGTGAGTTAATGTATCATGTGAAACAAATTCCCATGCTTTTGCTGGTAACTAGATAGCATCTTTCACATTGAATGTTCTCAGAAAATCCTGGATAGATTTTCCTTCATTAGCTGGGTGGATCAGCTTCTTTAAAAACTCTACTTTATAACGGCATTTTAAGCTTCATAAAATGCCTTGATCGAGAGGCTGTATCAAGGACGTACAGTTGGGGGGGAGATATTGAATTTCTATATTATTGGCAGTTAAAACAGCTGCAGGTGGATGTGCGGTACAGTTGTCTAAAAACAAAACAATTTTGCAGTCATCAGGCAATCCCACCGATTAGCAGTGCGCATGTGACTGGGGCACAAATTCTTTCTGGAACCATGTGGTAAAAAGTTCCTGCGTGATTCATGCCGTTTTATTAGCTTTATAAACTACAGGCAAAACTTTAACACCTTTTAATGTCCGGGGATTCTTACTTTTGCCGACAACTGTCATTTTCAATTTACACATGCCCGCTGCATTCGCGCAGGCTAATTATGTCAACCTATCTTTTGCAATCTTGAAACCACTAGGATTGATTTCATCTGTTGTAGTGTAAGTAGTATCTGGTAGATATTTATAATAGAGACCGGTATCATCAACTTTAAAGATTTGTTCTAAGGTCAAGATCTGAGTCTGAACTATATTTATCACAAAATCTACATAATTCTCAGCAGATTCTGTATCAGCTGAGGATTTTTCACCGCAAAATTTTGTTAATCGAATGCCATTTCTCTCTTTGAATCGGGCAAACCATCCTATGCTGTACTCGCATTTTTTTTCAATCCCAAGCTCATTATGAACGTTTTTCACCCGAGCCATAATTATTTAGTTAAAGGAAATTTTTCAGATCTTCTCTGTCTTATCCACTCCATTAATACTTTGTCGACATTCTCATTTTTTTGCCTGATGCAAAGTCTTTTGATTTTTCATTGCATCTTCTCGCTCAGAATTTTAAAACAGAGTCAGTATTTTTTTTTTCTTTTGACCATCTTTTTGAAGATCGTAAATTGTTTGAGTCCATACGTTATAAATCTCACTAAGAGATTTTACAGAAAAACCTTCATCTAACTTCTTTAAAATTGAAACCTTTGTTTTTACAGATAAACTCACACGCTTTCTTTTCTTAGAGGTTGAAATAGAATTTAACGAAGATATTTTCTTTAGAGATCACAAAATATACAACATGTGCTATAAAATTCCAAAATTTAAATAAATTTTTAACACACTAAAAAGATTCCAAGCTTTCACCTAACACGTTTTAACTAATCCTAGCACGAGTAGATGAATGATGAATAATCTACTAATGTCAGATATAAGAGAGAAGGGGGTGGAACGAATGTCAAATAAATGAAGCTGTATGTAAAATATGTGCTCATCTGGAGGTGAAGGCCAAGATGTGAAACTTCTTTAAACTATTCTTTCTAACAGTAAAGACCAGGTGTCCCATTAGTCATCCGTTTTACAGAAGGTGGTTGGGAGGGATTGAGACAGGTCAAGTAGTTGTTAAATTACATTGCTAAAAATAGCAAGATTATCTTATTTATGTTGCCTGTCATTTTAAACTGAAAAGGAAAAACAAAAAACCCAAAATTTAAACGCTAATTAAAATCCAATATATTACTGTAAAGAAAATCACCAATAAGATTGTAAAACAACGCATATTTTAGCACTTAATATTGAACCGTCCTATAAAGAAGCTAACAAATATATAAACAATCCATTGTTAATTAAAGTTAATCCTTATTTATTAAGTTAAATCACAAAAAGAATAAATAACTAAAAAATAATGCATTTTACCAACAGATAAGCAAAAAATAATAATAATAAAAATAAATAAACTATAAAAACATATATTTTTAATCTTTAGGTACAAAATAAATAAATTATCCCCTAAAGAATAAAAGATACAAAAAAAAAATGAAATCTTAAGGGAGAACTAATTAATCAATAAATTATAAGAACAGCTTTTCAACAGCCATCCCCCAAAAAACTAAATTAATGAAAATATTCAACAAATTATTTACATTTAAATGAAATTAAAACATATTTAATCAACTGGCAAACGTTTTTAAAAATAGAAGGGGAAAAAATTATAAAAATGCAATATGTTTAGATTTTCTATAAAAAAAAAAATGAATCATACATAAAATGGATAGATAGAAAAATATAAATTAAGATGGTAAAACAGCAAATAAATAAAAACTTATTTTGATCGTAATACCAAATAAACACAAAAAGAAGCTAACAAATATATAACTTAATTGAAGTCATTAATTTAATTGCAATTGAGGCAAATTATAATAAACTAAATAAAACCAAATTAAATAAAAAACAAAGCTAGAAAATTACCAAACAGAAACAATAACTAGAAAGGGCTCTAACATAAATATTAAAACCGGGAGATTATAAAATCTACTGAATTAAAACAAAATTATCGTAAAATTGATGATTAAAAAAATATAATTTATGAAGTACAAAATTTATTGTGGATGATGGGAGGAAACAAAAAAGGTAGTGGAATCAGAAAAAAAATCACTTTTAAAAAGAAAAAGCTGGAATTTGCTTCATAAAATAACCGTCTAATTTTAGTAATAAATAATTGTATGCTTCATTATTAAATAATCTTCTCCGTTTATTTTTTTATATAAAATGAGAGGATTTTTAACGAAAGCAAATGCGATTCCACATCAAGCAAAACTTAAAAATATTAGAAGAAATCATGATCAAACGAAAGAAACTGAATTTATTTAATTGAAAAATATTGTTTCCTTAATTAGTGTCCAATATATAAATATAATAGAAGATAATAAAAATTCTAAAAAAACGTTTTAAATTGTAATAATAATGTATCGTCAGAAATTATAAAACAATAATCTGTCATAATAATTCACAGAACACAAAAATGGAAAAACTGAACAAAAAGATTTTTAAAAAAATCTAACATGCCAACTCTCTCACGGCAGAAGTTTCAAGTTCCTTGACTCGGACATCTAAGTGACAACACTCCATTCGGATAAAATTCGGATTTTTTAAAAAATTTAGTGTTGTGTGAGCGCAAATTACGGTACTGAAAACGGAAGCGAAATCTTGCAATTTAAGTGTCGAATTCTCTGATAATTCTAAGTTTCGGGGTAAAATTGTATCCAATTATGTTTTGAGTTTTAATTTACTAAATTCTTCTGATTACTTTTTAAATGATAGAATTTAATCTTATTATTTTGTAAATGATCAACTTAACTATATTCTTAATTTATCATTGAACTAAAAATAGCCGTATTTCAATCATTCTCATATTCCAATTTTGTGCTTCCATCTTTTTTTTTTTTTTACTTAGTAATGTGTAGGGATATATTTTTCTTTTTATTTCTCTTTCACCTTCTGTTCAACAATATGCGTGTGCAATGCTTGTGCTCCGTCCCTCACATAAATCAAAGAGAAAACCAAAAGAGCATGCCACTCCTTTTTGATTGACGGCAGGTTATCTGAAAACCACTGATTCTTTGGAATGCACAGGAAAAAATAAAAAGTTTGCCCTTTTCCTGTCTCTTCTTGTCCCAAAGATCTTCAAGGTTACAGAAGAAATAATGATGTTTTCTCTTGACAAATGGTGGAGAAATTACCTCCACCCTCTTTTTCCTCTACTATACTTCAAAAATGAGTAACACTTCCGCGTTTTTTCTCCATCCTTCCCGTTCAAAATGGTGGAAAAACCAAGCGAAATTTTTCCCGGTTTTCTGGATACTGGATAAATGGTTCTGTACTGTATAAGGTTTAATAATTATCATTTTAAATTAATTGCCAGTCAATCATTTTAAATTAAAACAGTCACTAACTTTCATCTCAACATCTTCTGATAGATTGTTACTAACAGTTTTAGTCACTTTGGCTTTGATTGGATCGGACGCACTTTGTGCTCTACTATCAAATTTACTTCCATCGTTAAAATACATTCATTCATTTAAAATATGATGCACAACGGGAAAAGGACACATGTAAGCGAAAAACAAATATGTGCACGAACAAACGCAAGAACAGCCAAAAATAAGAACTAGCGAATTCCAGAGGACTATAATCTACGGCTGAGCATATATGCATTGCACCAAAAACGGAAAAGCTTTGATGAAATATCGGCGGCTGAAACAAAACTGCGTAGAACTCAACAACCAAATCTTTTCCACTCTACAGCGAAAGTTGCAGTTGTCAAGGCAACAGCGCCCCTGAAGAAGCCCCACCCATTTTCTCCTGACAATCATTCTGTCTTAGGAGACTACTGTAGGGAAAAAAAGTTTGTTCCAAGAATGGCTATCGTTCCAGTGGCTTGGGTTTCAGCAGTTTTGCGAGAGGGGTTCTGTAACAATTGCATCCCCCAAAAACTACGTTTTTGCAACATTGCCGGAAATTTCAAAAATTGGGAGAAAAAAGTGGATTTCTGCTTTCTCCTCGAAGTCTTTCATCCCTACAATTATATAAAGTAAAAGGTGTTAATTACAAGTCTGCGTTCTTCAAAAAAATATAAAATATACTGTTTGTTTTTAACAGCAAACTTAATTATGTCTATTTGTTCAAAGAAATTTTAAAAAATATGCTATTAGTATTTTAATTACATAAACTTTTGCGAACCTGGCAAAAATCCCAAATTTGCAAACCTGACAAAAGTTTGGATTTGACAAATGTTTAGTTATCTAAATATATATAAAAAAAAACTTTAAAAATTTAATAAATGGAAATAGATATGCGCATTGTTTTTTAGCGTTATCCATGCCTTTTGGAGTCACGGAGACTTGTCCTCACTTGGATTTTTCCCAACTAGTTCATTGACTATCACTCTACTTAAAGCAGAGACACTTATGTTGGAATTTCCCTGAAAAATTATGTAAAGAAAAAAATATGTTAACTGATATATTAAACATACTCACATAATATTTAAGACTTCTGTTTAAATCTGGATCTTGAACTAATTCATGAGTGCTAAGCTTATCAACATCTTTCGATAAGTTCAATAATGTAAGTTCACCAGTTTCTTTATCTTTGGCTTGAGCATAATCCTCTATTGAATTGCATACTGTTTCTAAAATTTCACCTAAGTGAGTTTCAGATCCAGCATATTTAATCTAAAATTTATCAGATAGTTTCATCTCAAAGGAAATGCAGAGAATATTATGACTAAGAATTATAAGCATTAAAAAAAATAAAAACCTGAGATTGCTTCTGAGAACCATCTGGCTGAATACGAAAGCTGCCAACTTCAAGAATTTTCTTTGGATCTTCATTTATCACAGAAGAAGTTATTTCATTTACCACAAGGCGACATACTGGAATTAAAAACAAAATAAACAATTGCAAAAATCAATATGAAACAAAATTTAAAAACTATGAAAATTCAAAAAATTTGTAAATATATAAATTTGTAATACTGAGTTGTCATGCAAATATCAGCATAGCATGTTTTCCATCCTTTAAAAACTAAATTATTTCAATCAATAAATAAATATAAATCAATAAATATAAATCATTAATATCTTCTTACTTAGCAACCCTGAAATGAGTGCGGAATCACTATTTTTAAAAATTCTCTTTATACATCTGCCAAATGGGTGATTCCATACTTATTGTAGCCTGGCTAGCTTAAAACTTTTTTTTTCAATAAATTTAATGAATCATACATCAAATTAAAGGTCATTAAATTAATTTTATGAATATTATTTTTTTTAAAAATAATGTTGCAAATTCTTAAAAATGCATAGAATGTGAAGAAATTAAATTTAAAAGTTGACAAAGAGAAAAAATTTGCCATTGCAACATTAAATATTTGTATTAAAACTTATTTTAAGAGATATATTGTGTTTGCATAATTAATGACTGAAAAAACTGCATTTTTACTTTTAGTATTTAAATGTGAGGTGCTTATATGAGCACATGTTTGCTTTTCAATGATTTTTTTTTTTTAAGTTTTATCAAAACAAAGCAGTTAAAATTTATTTTCTTTAAAATTCGATTTCTTTTGACTATTTGCTGTGTTGAATATTATGATTTTTAAAAACTAAAAAATTTTATTAACCATTTTTTAAAGAATTTTTAAATTGGCCGTGTCTGCAACGTTGCAGTCATAAGCTGCAAAAAAAAACAATTTCATTAAATTTTAATAAACATTTGAGCTAGCTAAGAAAAAACCTTTCAAATGCCCTTGTTTTACAAACTATATAATTTATAAAATTTGCACTGCTTCCATTTATTTTTCTAATGACCAATTAAATTGACAAATTACATTGCTTAAAATATGTCTAAATTCTTAATTTATATATTTATATATAAAAAAGAGCCCCCAAATCTAATGAATTATGAGTCTAATCTAATATGTTATCACTTTTTCTATGCTTATTAGTGTAGTAAATATATATTAAAAAAATAAATAATAATAAATATTAAAAATTATTAAAAAATAAATTTTTTAATAATTTTTAATTATTTCATTTAATAAAATTCAAAAAAGTTTTAATCCAATTTATAAATTTTTGCATCATTTTAAATTATATAATTTTTAAGGACAAAATAAAAAATTTGAACAAAATCAGTAGAGTAGTTTTTAAGTAATAAAATTTTAAAATGTTGTATTTAAAATTTGATTTCTCAAAACAGATTACGTTCAAACTTTGTATTTTGCCATTTAAAGATACATTCCTTAAAACGTGAAACTTTTTATACCTTAATTATAAAATAATTTGTAGAAAACAAATAACCACCCAAAGCAAACCTTTACATGTCATTTTGTTACATGTTATTACAAATTAAAAATCCATTTGTATTTGTGAATGTAGTTAGCTAGCCAAATCATATTACAGAAATATCCTCATTGTTTATTACTAAAAAAATATATACATTATTCTATTATCTTACTTTAAAGATTAAAAAGTTGGTTTACTGTTTGTGTTAGTATTACAATTTAAGTACATAAATTTGATCCTATTCAAATAAAATTATTAAAAAATTGCTTAGTTGAAAAGAAATTAAAACCATATGCTTAATGTTTTAATGACTCTAAACAAAAATCATTTTATTAAACACGAGAAGGTGAGATTTCTGTATCCTGATCTGTGGCAGAATAATCTCCAAGTCCTAACAACTTCCATGCAACGGTCCGCGAGAAGCTAGAAAAACATCACAGAAAGGGACCAACTGGAAAGGTATAAGTAGCCACCCCCGAAGCAAACATCTACATGTTTTTTTTTTTTTTTTTAAATTTGCAGGTTTAAAATCTATTTGACACCTTGGCAAATGTAGTTGGCACAACAGATCATGATACAGAAATGTCCCCCATGAGAATAATGTAATAAAAAATACATATTAAATGCTTATTCGAAAAATAATAAAGACACCCTATATTTTAAATTGGGGCCACAGTAAATTAACTACTAATAAAATAGTTCTCTTGAAGAAAAATTTATTTTGAATTACCTTGATTCTTTAACAATACTTAACATGTATACAATAGCGTTTATTAGAATTTATTTAATACACAAAAAAAAATAAACACACGTTAAACTTCGGCACATTAGTAAAATTTCTCAAAACAAGAAAAATTTCTAGAAAAGTTTAAATGTTGCTTTCATACAAACCAAGGCATCTTAGCTCAGACTGCTGGACAGAAATGTGGACTAAATAAAAAAACGTCAATAAGAACAAACGCCTTGATTCCATGTTTAAAAAAAGATGATTTCTTAAGTATTAAAATGACAATAAATAAATATATGTTGAATATAAATAAAACATTTAATCATATGCTCAAGTTCTTAAGAGGCAAGTAAGTTCTCTTCTAACATTTCAGAAATCAACAACTGCCGGCTTTTTTTAATGCGGGCATGATACAATCACAAATTAAATCACAACAAAAACATTTGTAATGACAGGTAAGCTTCGTCTGTCAAGTTTCGCACATCAAAACGTGGCGGTGTTCCATTTGCTATTGCTTGCAACGCTTGCAACAAATACGATTGGTCAACCAGGTTAAACGAGAACGAATGGTTTTGCTCAAAAAAGGAAGGAGCACCAATTCGAGTTACAAAACGAATGTTAGTCAGAAATGAGAACTACTATTTCTAATAATTTTGCCATCTAGTAACAGTTATGAGATATAAAAGTTTCTCCTTTTTTCCATTAAAGAGAATCGTAAATAAAATTGACTTTTTATGCAACTCACGCGTCATTAAAATCGCTTTTCTTTTGTTCATAGAGAGACACGGAACAAAATAATAATGAAAGGGGATTTTTTTTCCAAATTAAAACGAATCCTTTATGAATCCTCAAAAAGAGAAGTACTCTCAGTTATTAAATATTCAAACAAAATATTTACCTACTTAAAAAACTTTGTTGTAATATTTGCAACTATAAACTATTATATATATATATATTTGTAACTATTTGTAAGTTTCATTTCACATCCAAATAGGTTCTGATATTTTTTTAATCTAGTCTCCTTCATCGGTGATTCGTCCCACAGTGGACTGATCGTTAAGACACTGTTCCCAGCAGATCACCAAAGTCAGGCATCACTGGCTGCGGTCAGTGTGGAAGTGGGTGCCCACTTTGATCAGTCTGCGTAGGAACCGAGGGTGCGTGGTATCTGTCCTCGTAAAACTGTTCTACCGTAAAGTACTCTACTTCGCGTGCAGGTGGTCAGGCTACCGAAACAGGGGAGTTATTCCCTTTGAAGAGGATCAAAATTGCGATGGCATGTCTTCAGATCATCCTCAGGGATGTTTCCCGAACCGTCGTGCATTACCCTTACAATAGCCCATTGTGCAGCTCTAGTGCGATGTAAATGAACTACAACGACAACAATCATCGGTAATTCTTTTTTTTTTCTTACTCCACTTAATATATTAATAAAAGCATTTTAGCAATCAGAATTATAATACATAGGAAGAGCGAAGTCTTCGATTGCAATAAAAAAAAATTTTAAAAATTGAGCAAAAATACCGATTTTGTCACTAATGTTGCTTCCTAATGACGATTGCATAAAATAAACTGAAAAATTTCTAACTTTATTTTGGAGAACATTGTAAGTACATAGATAAAAAATAATTTCTGTACATAATTAATTAATAAATTAATTTAACTGCTAATTTTAAATTGTCCGTTAATCCGTTAAGATGAACAAACAGAAGTTACTTTTAAGTTCTAAAAGACTAATTTTCTAATTTAAATCATCGTAATATTTGCTACTATACTTTTTCCCATACATGTATATAGAAAGGAAAAGACTTTATTTTTATTTTGATAAAATTTTGTTCGTATTTAAAATAATGAATAAATTCTAAAATACTTACGAGTTTACACACTAATCCTTTCGTAGGTACAAATGTTAAACAAATTAGCCACATAAAAATAAAGATTTATTTTATATTTACGTGCTTATAAATGAAAATTATTTTCAGTTACACAAACGTAAAATTCTTAATCATAATTCCCTGTATAAAATTAAATTCGTTACAAATTAAGAAATTAATATTTTTCTTCAATTGATTAGGACAGATTTTTTCTAAATTTGAAAAATAACGAATTTTAGTTATTTTTCAAATAACTAAACTTCATTTTAAAGTTTTATTTTAACCGTAAGACAATTAAATTTACCATCTGAGAAGATATTGCTCAGAGTTGTTTCAAACTAACGAAAAGAAAACTAAAATTCATTTTTTTCTTCACTTTATTAAATTAAAAAAAGACGCTACAATTGTTTATGCCATGTTAAAATATATAATAGGTAATAAATTTTAGGGATTTTAAAATGTTTAAATAAATGCTGCCCTGTCAAAGCTGAGGATCGAACTCCCGACCTCTAGGTTAGTTGGCTCCATTTTACTTAACTTCAAATTTCTTTAATTGTCTTTTAAAAAAATAAATCTTTATGCTGCAATTTTAGAAAAGGCATATTGTTGGGAATATATATCTTATTCAGCTTAGATTATTCAGCATATTCAGCTTAGATTACCTTTTAAAGAATAGGAAAATTCCCCAAAATTCTGACTGTTTCTGCTGTTAGCGCCACCAGTGGAATGTAGAAATAGCGCGTCGCTTTTCGAAACCATTTTGTGAGCGGTTTATCCTGCATAATATGTCTCTGTTTTTGCTTGTCGTTTAGATGACTTCGCGAACGAATGAACAGGTATAGAAACGGTTTCAAACTTTTGAATGATATTCTAGTATGCTTAGGAAGAATTGCATTTTATCTTCTAATTATTCTTAAAAAAATATAATTTGATTACAAAAGGAAAAATAAGTACTTTAATTGCTTTGATTTTGCAATGCATTATTATTTATTACAAAGGAAATTCTTGACACTTTTAATTCCGACAAATGAAAAGATTAAAACAATAAAACCTAATCAGGTTTTATAGTTAGGTAATTAGTAGTTAGATAATTAGGTTAAGAAGATTAAAAATATATTTTATTTAAAAAATTTAACATACATTTGCTTAGGAAACAGATATATATATATATATACAGTAGGGAACCGATTATCCGGAACGATTGGGACCATCGCTATTCCGGATAACTGATTTTTCCGGTTTTCTGAATCGCTACAAAAAGCCGTTTTTTTTATTGTTAAACCCAACTAAAAAAATAATTTTTTTTGGAAATAATCTTAAAAAGAAGAAAAAACGATGGATTAATACACTAATGATTATTTCCAAAATGATGGTAAGGTNGCACAATTATTGCATGCCAGCCTGATCTTAGATACAATTATATCATAGCGTTATCTATACATAATAATAAACGCGGCTGTGGGGGTGTGTGTGTGTGTGTCTGTGTGTATGTGTGTGTATGTGTGTGTGTGTGTGTGTGTGTATGTATATGTATATGCGTGCGTGAGTGTGTGTGCGTGTGTGTGCGTGCGTGAGTGTGTGTGTGATAAATAAATTAAGTTTTTCGTATAGTCATTAATGTAGCTAATTACGATTTAAATAAACAGTTTGTATCAATTTTGTTATTATTGTATTATATTATAAGATGCCACCCAATTAGCAAAATAATTTTAAAAAATAATGCTCCACAATGTTGTTTATTTTTAAAACTACCTTTACAAATACACCCAATGCTTTTACACGTATTTTTCATAAAGTAAAAATATGGGGTTGTGATCAATTTTATAAATATATGCCATTAAAATTTAATTGAAAAATATGAAGTTAGGATTTGGAATAATAAGAATATTTCTCTTGATATAAATTCAGTTAAGATACGTAATTCGTCATTTGTTCCGAAGTTTATATACATTTGAATCCGTGAAAATTTCAAGAATACAGATGACTTCAAATCGCTCTTGGTTGAGTATTTTGCTAATAAGAGTCAGAAGTTCTATGAGCTTAGGATCATGAACTTACTGGAAAGATGGCACCGAGAATGGAAGATTTCATCCTAAAAAACGAAATTACTTTCTTATCAACTCATTATATTAGTAAATTAAAGAAAGTGTTTCTTGATATTAAAACCCGTGCAACTTAATTCCTAAAACTAAAGCCTATGCCTAATTAACTAAAATTAAAGCCTAATTAAACTGAATAACTTTTAAAATTCCTTACAGTCTCTTTTTCGAATTTTTTTCCGATTGCGGCTTCTCTTATATTAAAAAAGCAAAAGATGAAAAACAATTAATTTAAGTCAATCAAAGGGCTTATTTATTTTAAAATTATAAGAGACAAAAGTTTATTAAACATGCTATTAAAAGGAGCAGTAAACACATTGTTCATCACAAGGTCTCAACATTCTCGCTTAAAAAATAAAAAATAAAATTCTATCTCGTGTGTAAAATAAATGGAATCAGATTAATCTGACATTGACGATAACAACCTTCTACTCAACAACTTTAACGATGCGCTGTATTTCTCAAAACTTATGGAAATATGATTCATCAAATAGCGCATAAATGATAAAATTCAGTGATATTTCTTTCCCCCTCCTTTTTTTCCCCTTTTGAATAAAGATTTATGGAATGAATAACAATCAGGTTTTAATATTTCGGTTACTTTAAATTTTATCTTTTCTTTTTTAGAAAAATCATTCTTAACTGGTTAAGTATGAGTCATTTTATAGTAAAGAAGTTAAACAATTCTTTATTTACTTACAAATAGTGCCTTACAAATTTTGCGGAAATATTTTTTAAATTATGCGGTAAAGATGTAGCAGCTTTTTAAAATTTGTGTAAAGGTGGGCACATGACTTAGAAAACTATTAATACAAAAAAAATGAAACTTAATTTGAAAGCAATTATACACTTTTTACATTCTCCCTTGTATTTTCATCATTACAAAGATTTTAACTAAGTTACTTTCAATCTTTATTCAACATTATAACGTATTCACCACAGATATCATTAGTATTTAATTTGATTACTTGTTTTGCATCAAAAACTCGAGGAGTTTTTATAAAGTTTAATGGTCTTAGACAAAACTTGGACTTTCGAAGGAGAAAAGTTAAGGAAAGTCAAGTTGCTGAAAGAATTTTTAGAAACTTTCTTAGAAAAAAAAAAGCTGAAGTTGCATATAGGGGAAAAAAAACTTATATGGTAATTTTAACTTTAATTTTTGTAAACTTAATTTACCATATAAACTAAACAAGTTTATATGGTAAATAAGGACAAATAAAATTATATGGATGTTCAGCGGTTATTGAACAATTATAAATATGCGGCTTCCCACATCTCCTACATTTTTGCACAATTTGAAAGGCAATTGCAAATTGTACAAAATTATATACTATAATAAAGTGCAAATTTTCCTTATCCATAACACAAATTTTACTGCTTCATAAATTATAGATCAAGTATTTTTATTCATAATAATAATCAAAGTACGATTATAATCAAAATCTACTTTTCTGTCACTTGAGCACATAATTGCATATCAGAGATAAAAGCAAGAATTTTAGTTCATGGAAAAGAAGGAAGATAGTTTAATTTTAAATATAATCTTGCACAATAGAGATTTTATTTATTTTATTTTGTAATTGGTGTTTAAAAGCCGACTAAAATACTAAGGTTACGACTGTCAATGTTCAACTCTGTAGCTTTTAACCCAACC